TAATGATTCATTTCAGTGTTAAAGGGCTCTGCACACCTCGCATGAAAAGTATAAATAGAAGACTGGTCTATTTTTACATCTGTAGCGTAAATCCCCCCGGCGTATACGTTCGACTTACGCACCGCTATCAGTCTCGTGTGGCCACGTTTATTGATTACAGTGGAGGCGTAGTGTTGAATATGTTAAGAGTTCAGTGTCACCGCAGAGTTTAGCTCGAGGCAATATTTTGAAATTTCCACCTGAAGAAACATCTGCAAATTCAGTCTGGAGCAGCGCCGCAGCTGTGAAGTCAACAACTTAATGGACAAGAGTTGGGAGAATTTTAAAATGGCCAGAGTGAAACTAGAAAATGCTAATTTGTGCCTGATCAAAACTGTGGATTAGAGAGTAAATAACAGCCTTTTAACATCGATTCTTCGACACCGACACTGTAACAGACCATAAGCAGCACAATGTTCCATCCATTTCAGCCACAGCAGCACCAGGAGGCCTCTTTATCGAATGTGCCGCACTCAGCAACCTTCAAAAAAATGGCGGCAAATTGTGTTTTAATGACGGTGCAGCGGTCTCGGCGCTGGGACCTCCAGGCAGGGAAACGGTTAATTGATTGAATTGATTGATAGCTCATCATGCTGCCGCTGCCGGAGTTCTCTCTCTGTCAGAGTCCATTCATGCTTTGCTAATTTATCCTCAGGTCAGGCGGCTCAGCTCCTCCTCGGATCGGTCTTTTCTGAACTGCAAATTGCGTCTGATATTTAAGCTGCTCGGTGTATTAAAGAGAGGAGATGAATGGGGGGAAAAAACAGCACAATATACAATAAATGCAGTTCTCATTGGGTTTTCAGGACATATTTAAACCTAATGGCTGCAGCATAAACCTACATTCGTGTCAGATTATTCAGATGTGCTTCTATGAAGAGGAACATTAAAGGTAGCATTAACCCTCTGAACCCCCAGCAGGATTTTTTTTTTTTCTTGCTCCTGTCACAGTTCTAGTCGCTGTGGGCTCATTTTTCGCTGTAATATAAAGAGATGCACCTCTATGGAAACAGCACAACCAGGGCTGGAAGTAGAGAAGACTCACAGCTGGCTTCTGTGCAGAACAACACAGTTATCAGGCCATGAATCATAAAAAAGCAACGACTAAATTAGAATTTCTTTGATTATTTATTTAACTAAAATCTAAAAAAAAAAAAAAAAAAAAAAAAAAAGCCCAAAAATTTTCAAACCCCCAACAAGGGTGGCCCCAAAAGGTAAAATTTTGCAATTCCAATCCTGGCCTTTCCCCGAATTGGTTTAAAAAAGGGGCTTTAATTGTATTTTATTTTTGCAAAAAAGCAGTTATAATTACATATATCTAGAAAACAGAAAAATTTAACTTGATTATTTCACAAAAATGTAAGAAAACAATGTGCCCACAGCTGTTACTACTCCTGGCACTACTTTTTAAAGTATTTATAATTTTGTCCTGCCTGTTCTGGGTAACACAGCCTGCACTTCAGTCAGAAAGTTTTCAGAATTGTTGTCATGTCACTGTTTTTTGCATTTAAGTCATTGTTGACTTCACGGTTGCACAGAGAAGCTCAGATTTTTTTGTTTTTTTCAGAATCTGGTTTGAGGAAACGGTTTATTTCTGGCTAATTTTTAAACAAGACACGCAGAATAAAACCATTTTGATGGAATATTGTGATTTTAAGGCACGTTACCAATGAGTAGCTCGCTTCCTGTAGGAAAGTTGACAAATTCTTTCTCTTTTCAAAGTTTCTCACTCGAATAAAATGTGTATTTTTTGCAATATTTGAATTCTATAACATGAATTTCAAACTTGCCAGTGAGTTTTGGGATTTACGGGGTGAATCTAGTGTTTAGATCACAGATGAGCAATTCAGGGACCGTTGGAATGTATTTGTGTTTCTACAGCTTCTGTCTCTGTTAAATATTGTAATTATGGCGATTTTTAAAAAATGAGACATGCAGAATAAAGAGACTTTGGAGAAATATTGTCATTTTAACGCATGTCACAAATGAGTACTTCACTTCTTGTCGGAAAGTTGAAAATTCTTTCTGTCTTCACAATTTCTGGCTCTGATAAAAGGCATAATTTCTGCAAATTTTAAAAGATAATGTGCCTTCCATATTCACCAGTTTTGGGGATCAGAGGGTTTGGGATTATGAAACATTGCCTAGTTTCCTGATGGAACAGCAGGCCATGGATGAGTAGTTCAGGGACCGTTGGAAAGATGAAAACCTGATGATTCTTTCTGTTTTTATAGTTTCTGGCTCTGATAAATGAAATAATTTATGCAATATTTTAACCTTCAACATGCCTTTCAAACCTACTAGTGGGTTTTGGGGATCAGAGGGTTGTGAAATATTCCCAGGTTTCCCAGTCACAGATGAGGAGTTCAGGGACTGCTGGAAAGATGACTCGCTCTCTGATAAATAATGTAATTTTTGCGATTTTTCAGACGATAACGAGCCTTTCAAATCCACCAGTGTGTTTTGGGATTTAGAAGGTTAAAGCCAGTGGAAAATATGTTTCCGTATTACAGATGAGTAGTTCAGATACCGTTGGAAAATTTAACATCTGCTGATTCTTTCTGTTTTTACACTTCCTTGCTGATAAATTGTGTAATTTTGGTGATTTTTCAGTGCCTTTTAGCCTGCCACTGGGGTTTAGGGTTAAAACAAAAGCTCAGAATGATAATTTACAGAGATCTCACTCAGACTTGAGGAAGCTAAAGCTGCCATTTCATGTTTTCTTGATTAACTTTACACCTCGCTCTTCTCTCTGCTGCCTTTCTTTCTTTCTTTCTTTCTTTCTTTCTTTCTTTCTTTCTTTCTTTCTCTTCGGCGCTGAACAGGAAAGTCAACTTTTCTCTCCATCACATTGCCGGCGACAACGTTCCCTTAAACCAGAAGTCAGCAAACTTAAACACTCAAAGAGCCATTTGGACCAGTTTCCCACAGAAAAGAAGACATACATTGTTTGTTACCTTTATGCTACGTACAAAAAAAAACTACAGTGTGTTGCATTTATGAAATCAATGAACTGCTACAGAGAAAACAACATTTTGTTTCTGCATGCAAAAAAACAAGACGCTGGGTTAAAGGAATCCTCCTCATTTCATGTATGAAATAAAAAGCCAAACTTAAATCATCCACCTGCAGCAAAGTAAACATGCCGTCTGGTCGTCCTGCTGACTGCAGCTGGGACTGCTGACCAGACTCCTGACCGCCTGTGAGCGCTTTGGGATGGGGAGGAGCTCACGGCAGCTCGTTGAGGACAGTAACTGCAGAATGAGTCTCCAAAACACCAGAAAGTCTCCAGTAACACCAGAAAGAGTCGCCAGGAGGATTTGGAAAGTTGCGAGATTTAGCAAGAAAGTCACCAAGTTAGCAACACTGCGCACATCGGCGGTTGTGACGCATATTTTGAGCGACAAAATATAAACACGTTTTATTCCAATTAGTGATGCATGATATTAAAATTTCTGGCCGATACCGATATCCGATATTAAGAATTCATATATCGCTGATAATCGATATTACCGATGTCGATATTCAATTTTTGTTCACACCCAAAAAATGAGAATAAGTAAACACTGTGAGAATGTGAAAACTATTCAAAAGAAGCCCATACCAGATTATACCACATAGTTGTCGTTATTACAAAGTAAAACATCTTTAAACATATTTTAACGTTCAAGTCCAGGACTATCCATCCATCCATCCATTATCTATACACCGTTTAATCCTCACTAGGGTCGTGGGGGGCTGGAGTCTATCCCAGCTGACTGGGACAGACAACCAAGCACACTCACATTCACACCTACGGACAATTTAGAATCACCAATTAACCTCAACATGTTTTTGGACTTGTGGGAGGAAGCCGGAGAACCCGGAGAGAACCCACGCTGCACGGGGAGAACATGCAAACTCCACAAAGAAAGATCCCGGGTGTCCTCACTGGGACGCGAACCAGCAACCATCTTGCTGCGAGGCAACAGTGCTAACCAACTGCGCCACCCTGCAGCCCAGTTCAGGACTATTGAAGTAAAAACATCTGTGAAATAGCAGCAATATCAAACGTAGAGATGAAGGCGCTATCGTCGGTTTTTCACATTGGCTAAATTTGTTCATCGGACTGATACAATACATCGGAAAAAACACTAATATCGGCCGATACAGATGTGGTCGCCGATATATCGTGCATCACTAACTTTAATGTTACAAGATCACCATAATCTTCAAATTTTGAATTACATTTAAAAAACTAACAAACTAAAACAAAATAAATGTAAATTAATTACTCAATATATACTTTCCAAAGCCACAAGGAGCGGCAGCAGAGGTATGAAAGAGCCACATGTGGCTCCGGGTTGCCGACCCCTGCCGAAAACAATTCCCGGTTTCATTACGATGTCAGGAAGGTGAGCAGTCAAAATGCCAAACTCCTTCTCCAGCCCTGATGCCATTTTTAGCCGGCCGTCGTTCGTCCCCCCCCTCCCTGAACCGCCGCGGCCCACAAACACAGGTTATGCATAAACGCCGTCCATAAGAGCTTCTACTTATTACGTCTCTCGCTGCCCTTTCACGCTTTTCTCACTCCCCGGAGGTGTCCCGGCGATCGATAACGGTCGAGGGCGCTAAGACCTTTCTCTCGTTAACGCTTGGCTTATTCCAGTTTGTCGGAGAAACCCTCTCCAGCCGGTCGGTCCCAGCAGGCCTCTGCGGGGCTGTTTTTTGGTTCTCTTCCCGAGATGGGTCTATTATTCCCATTTGTAGGGGGGAAAACGTGGCCTAGTTTTTGTGGGCGTCTAAACCCCTTTTACATCTGCGGGATTGAGATAGGGGGAAGGTTTCATCCCATGACCAAACGGTTTGTGAATAAGAACGAGAGGCGCTTTGAACCTCTCGGGATCTCGGAGAATACTGACGTTTCTGTCACATCACGGATGTCTCCGGGATTATCGGCAGACAGCGAGGCCGACGCTTACCTCAAGCACAAGAAGAGGAAGAAGGCGATGAGCAGGGCCACCATGGAGATGCAGTGACCCAGGAAGTTTATGATCACAGCTATTTGGTAGTGCATCTTGCCTTTTTTCTGCAGGAAGAAAGAAAGAAAGGGAGGGGGGGAAAAAAAATACAAGATGAAGCTTTCGGGTGTTTCTGGTTTACAGATTTTTTTTTTTTGCATGATAGGAAAAGACACTTAAAAGACTCAAAAATCCTCTTTTATTTTCCAATTTTCGGGGCCGACTCCCGCTGCGGGTTTGATCAGGAACAGGCTGCTCACAATCACAGCAGGAGAGTCGGAATAAAATGAAATCACCAAAATTAAATAGCGACTCCAGATACGGATTCTGAGAAAATGGTTCCCTGGACGCAGACATGTAAAAGCTTCAACCACATCTGCACAGAAGCAGCACAAACACACACAAAAACTCTCTGTGTGCATCTCGCTAGTGATGTTTTCATGTTTCCTTGCTGTCATTTTGCATCACTTGTTCATTTTGTGTGGGTATCTTTCTTTTCTTTGCCATCATTTTGTGTTTGTTTGAAATCATTTTGCATTACTTATGATAGTTTTGCCTCTCTGCAGTTATTTTGTGCCTTTTTGAAGTTGTTTTGAATAGTTTGGGGGTTATTTTGTGTCTCTGTGTGTTTGCTCGATGTTTCCTTGCAGCTATCTTGTGCATTTTGGGTCATTTTGTGTCTCCTTTTGAGTATTTCTATTGTTTATTTTCATGTTGTTGCAGTCAACTGTTTAAAATCAAGGTTATATTGTGTCTCTTTGCCGTCATTTTGTGTATTTTGTTAGCAATTGTGTCTCTTTGTGGTCATTTTAATTGTTATTATCATCATTTTCTACGTACTGGAGGCCTTTCATTTCATTTTTTGGGTTGATTTCTGTTTCTTTGGGGTCATTTTGTGTCTCTGTGTTCGTTTCATGTCTTTTTGTCGTCATTTGATATATTTTGGGGGTCATGTTGTGTCTGAATGTGTTTGCTTTATGTCTCCTTGCAGTTATCTGTTGTATTTTGGGTCATTTTGTGTCTCTTTCTGGTCATTTTCAAATGTTTTATTGTTATTTTTCATGTTGTTGCAGTCATTTGATGTATTTTCAGGGTTGTTTTGTGTCTCTTTGTAGGTCATTTTTCCAGTTCTACGGTGTTGTTTTGTATTTTTTCGGGGTTATCTTGTGCCTCGTTGTGAACATTATGTGTCTGTGTTCATTAAATGTCTCTTAGCAGTCACTTTGTTCATTTTCGGGTCATCTTGGGCCTCTTTGTTTTCATTTAAAGTAATTTAATCATCTTTTTTTTGTGTTTATGTGTCCGTCTGATGTCTCCTTGCAGTTATCTTGTGCATATTTGGTCATTTTGTGTCTCGTTGTAATCACTTTCAGTATTTTTATTTTTTTTTCATGTTGTTGTGATTATCTTATATATGTTGGGGGTTGTTTTGTGTCTCTTTGCAGCCATTTTGTGTATTTGTTTAGTAATTTTTTAATCTCTTTGAGGTCATTTTTCAATTCTACGTCGTCGTTTTGTATTTTTCCAGGGTTATCTTGTGCCTCTTTGTGAACATTATGTGTCTCTTTGCAGTCACTTTGGTCATTTTCAGGTCATCTTGTGCCTCTTTGTTTTCATTTAGGGTAATTTAATCATCACTTTTTGGTCTTGTTGTGGTCATCTTGCATCTACGTGTCCGTCTGATGTCTCCTTGCTGTATTCAGCATATTTTAAGGGTCACTGTATGTCTCTTTGTGTCACTTCTTGTCTCTCTGTGTCTATTTGTGGTCATTTTATGCTTCTTGGTGTTTGTCTGACATCTCTTTATGACCATTTTGTGTATTTTTACAACCCTTTCATGTCTCTTTATGGTCATCCTGTGTGTGTTTATGGTCATTACGTGCCTCTCTTTGGTATTTTTTAGCAATTTCTAGCTGTTTTCCATCTCCTCCTGTGTTTTTTTTATCTTATTTTGTGATCAGTTTGTGCTGTCACCGCGTCACGGCCTATCGGTTTCCGAGGATGGGGGATCCTGCCGCCCTTCTGGCGTCGCTCCTGGTCGTGAAACACGAACGCTGGGAGGCTTTCGATCGTGCACGCTCTCCACACGAGGCCTCCTGAGAAGATCTTACGACGAACAGAGACACATCTTCCTGTAACTCGCTGCCTAAGACCACTGTCTGCGACTTGGATATCCATTGTGATCGGATTTCCCCCCCCACCCCCCGACGTCCAACGACAGTAATCTGCGCTGTAAGTGGATTTATGTAACCTACTGGTGTCTACGCCGAGATTAAATGTGGGCACGTTTAATCCCCGCCCCACCCACGCCGGCCCACGTCATCTGTCCCATTCACTACATTTTGGTGCAACGGCTCAAGTCTTTAACTCTTTATACGTCTGCAGAGGCAGGAAGTCAGCGATAGCAGCTCTTCTCCTTCTCTGCTAAACTGCAGGACGCTTTGATATTAAATGGGATGTGTGGCCGGACTCCTGAGTAGAAAATCTCATCTGCTTGTCACAAAACAAATCATATGAGGTCTCTACAATCCTCTGTGGTTAAAGTTGAGATTATCCTACGCAACAAAAACATCTTGTTTGCGGTGAGAAAAGATCCTGATTAAAAGTGTCGGTCTTAAGGAGAGAGTAATTCTGCTCTTAGAATGCACAATAAAGGAAAAACAGGCCTGAGTGGTTTCCACGTCTCGTTTAATCCTCTGAGCAACAAGCTGTGACAGTTTGATTCACTGTGAGCTCGTTTTTCACGGCATCATAAAGTGGAAACAACACAACCATGACCAGAAGTAGAGAGAACTCCAATATGACACGGCTAGAATGCCATAAGTCATGAAAAAAAGACAAAACGAAAGCAGATTTTCTTTGATTACTAAGATTAACAAAATGTGAAAAAAACTGGAATCAACATCAACAGGTGTCACCAACAGTAGGGAAAGAAAGTGTGGCTCTGAATGCGATAGATATTTTACTATTCGATTTGTTTCCGTACTCGTCTGTTTTGTTTAAACGCTGCCTGCAGTTCAGTCAAGAAGTCTCAGTTACACAGAGGAGGACAGAAGTTTTCTGCAGAATCAGGTGCAAACGGTTGGTTTTCAGCAAATTCCTAACTGAGGCATTTGGAATAAATTGACTTTAATTCTAATTTTAAGGTTAAATTTAGTTAATTTTTCAGTTGGAGCTGGGAGCAGTTCAGCAGAAAGTTAAAATCCAGCTATTCTTCTGTTTTTATAGGTTCTGATTCTGACCCAATAGTAGGTTTTGTAAACATAAATATAGAGAAAGGCTGATTAGGAGCTGATGTACGGAAGTGCAAAAAAAAAATATTACTTTCCTCGTGTCCTTTTCATTACAATTTTTTATTTAAATGTTGTATTTAATTATTTATGCTTAAGTCAGGGCTGCAAAGTGGATCAGTGGTTAGCACTGTTGCCTCACAGCAAGAAGGTCGCCGGTTCGCGTCCCAGTGGGGGAACCGGGATCTTTCTGCGTGGAGTCTCCATGTTCTCCTCATGCAGCGTGGGTTCTCTCCGGGTTCTCCGGCTTCCTCCCACACAGTCCAGAAACATGTTGAGGTTAATTGGTGATTCTAAATTGTCCGTAGGTGTGAATGTGAGTGTGCTTGGTTGTCTGTCTCTAAGTGTAGCCCTGTGATAGACTGGTGACCTGTCCAGGGTGTCCCCTGCCTTCACCCTGAGTCAGCTGGGATAGACTCCAGCCCCCCATGACCCTAATATAATGTTCATCATCATCACTAAGAAGACATGATGAATGTTTTCGAGCGCCCATGACCCTAGTGAGGATTAAGCGGTGTATAGATAATGGATGGATGCTTAAGTCATTTTTCATCCTCTATCGAGTAACCCATAGATATTCTGCTTTTTCTCATGTATGATTAAGAAAGTAGAATAAAATTTGAGACTCTGGAACCATCAAATTTGGGGATTTTTTTATGTAAACTATATATGTAGAGTTTTAAATTTAGCTGTAAAATTGATTAAAGTGGAGTAAAAAATACAATATTTTAATCTGAAATAGAGCAAAAATAGATGCACAAGCACCTTAAATCTGTTTTTAAGCACATTAATTGGGTCTATGTACTTAGTCACGACTTCTCAGTTGCATCGAGGAAGGCAGAATTATTATTGTTTTTGCAGAATCTAGTTAGTGATTATTTCTTTTTCATGATTTTTTAAATGAAAGTCCTTGAATAAAGTGCATTGACTGTAGTGTCTGATGTTTTATCTTAGATTTGGTTAATTTTCCTCATGGAACAGAACGTTAAATAGTTCAAGGACTGTCGGAAAGTTAAAAAGCCGATGAATTTGTCTGTTAGAGTGTTCAGCCCTCAAAAAAAGGTGTAATTTTAGTGATTTTTAAAAAAAATATAACATGGTTTTGGGGTTCACACAATTAACGCAGAGGGACGGTTGGATTTCACAAACTTAGATCTTCCCACATGATTCATAATTATTACAAAACAAGTCATGCGAGTTCAGTCCTGACCTGACACCTCTGTGGTTGGAGTTATTTAAAGCATAAAGCAACAAGAATGACTTTGTTTAGGTTCGGGGGGAAGATCAGGGTCATTATCTCTGGCGCTGGTTTTAGAGAACGTAATCATCCATCTGTGTCGTCAAGACAATCATCCCTTCATCGTGTGACTCTCGTTAGAGCTTCAGATGTTCTCCGTGGACAGTAAACAAGCTGCTGACAACATGACTTTCCAACAACAAAACAGGCTCATTCAAGTGTAACGCCATGAATCCCCGTCAGCGCTGAGACGACGCTCACATCTTATCAGTGGAGTATCAGCCGTCACATTGAAGAGTTGGTCTCGTAGATTAGTTTCGTTGCACCCAAATAAAAGACCTGTGTACGTAAAGAACTGCACAGGTGATAAAATGTCGGATGTAACACACAGTTTAATGAAAGCAGTTTAAATCTATGATGTTCAGTGTTCATGGAGGATGACGGGCGTTTTCACAGGTTTAGTGTTACTGGAGATTTCTTTCAAAACTCTAGTTGAAATGCAGATTTACTCATGTTTTGTCAACGCGAGAAGATCCAATCA